TTGTTATTATTATTGTTATTATTATCATCATTATTATTATTATTACCTGTATTCTTCTTTTTCTTCTTCTTATTGTTGTTGTTGTTGTTGTTATTATTATTATCATCATTATTATTTTGTTGCCGTCACTCATATTTCTCCATCTGGATAAATAAAAGTAGCATGGACGTAGACGCTCAGAGAGACAGACAGACCCAGGGGGGGAGATGGACATATCAATGTACAGACAAACAAGCCAGCAAATATACAGCAATATTGGCCTGCGACGGGGGGCAAATATCACGTGGATGGTAAATAGATAGATACAATAATAATAAATTCATGAGATTGGGATTGGTAGATTAAATTGGTTATTGGAGGTAGAGGTATGGATACACAACACGTGTGTGTGTGTGTGTGTGTGTGTGTGTGTGTGTGTGTGTGTGTGTGTGTGTGTGTGTGTATGTGTGTGTGTATGGCGTTATTCTAGTTACTGAAAAATTTTACTGCATACAAATGTAACTACAAATGTGGTGAGGATGAAGGGGAAACTACCAGAGCCGCGCATTTTCGAGAAAAAAATATCAAAGCCGCGCTCTATCAAATCACGTACTTTGTGACGATATCGATACAATTAGATTTGCCGATTCCATCCAACGGTTACAGCCGCCTTGACAAAATTACTCTGTACATCCCCCATCCAAATATAACATTAGTCTTTCTGGAGACTGGGGAGACTTTTAAACCATTTCTATGCTGTAACTAAAACATACAAGTCAAATAGAAAGACACTACAAGAAAGAGGAAGGGAGAATGAGTAACAAACAAACGTTCGCACATGGGCATGTCTCACTTCTTCCAATTTTTATCCTAAATATGCAAGATAATGCTGCCCCAACACTTTAAAGATCGCCTCTGTCTTGTACATGTGTTTTTATACCTGAAAAGCCATTTTATTCTATACAAATTCTTATTGATATATGTTAGTCCCAAATCCAGTAAAGCGCAGAGACTACCTAAAGTATTTGAGGGTATTAGTTTTGGTAATCAGAAATCTAATTATATCGCTATTGTCAAAAAGTGCGCGTTTCTGATAGTAAGCGGCTTTGATAGTTTTTCTCGAAAGTGCGCGGCTCTGATGTTCTCCCCGATGAAGACATGTTCACTTTACTGCTAATCATCGTAATACAGTATTGCGTCTTTATAGCATTGCCCCATATTGGCCAGCGGTGATTATTAAAAGAATTCTTGACACCAAATGGCAGGATAATATACCAGACATCGAATGAAAGTGTATTTATTTAGCACAAAAAAAGGATTCAACTTTGCCATGTCATAAGAATGCCTGATTTCTGACTCCCAATGGCAGTATTCTATTCTGAGCTGTCCTCAGGGAGGCATAAGGTTGGTGCATCAATAAAAAAAATCACTACAAAATCACCATATAAATGACTTAAACATAAATATTACTTCGACATGGGGAAAGCCTGGCTCCTGGCAGACCCAGCTGGATAACATCAGTCACAGTCGGCAGCAAATCATATGAGGCATTACCAACAAAAATGCTGAAACCAAGAGAGGAGCCAGCAAGCTGCACACATTCACAATAAGTGGTAGTGGAGCTTTTAAATGTTCAAAATGTGACAAATTTTTCTCTGCCAGAAATCGTCTTGTTGGCCACAGCAATAAGCCACAGTAATAAGCCACAGTAATAAGCCACAAATCATCTTAACTTAAATATTCTTCAAATTCTTCTATTTCGCTGGAGACATATTCTCCTATGCGGACGTATTGGTCATTGTCAGGCGTTGACGGACGAGCTATTATTATCTCTTAAGAAGTTGCGAAGTTTTGCGATGTGATTTTTTTATTGTCATAATTATCAATTATATAAATTTTTTACATTTCGAATTACCATTAGATTATCGGTGTGGTAAGGTTTTATGAAGTCTGTTTCAAAACTGCGAGTATTTGAGTAAATTGATCATCGATCACTGATAACTGGTTCCAGATCATTATACTTCTCGATCAGAAGATCCCTGCGTCAGTGTCCTAATCCACTAAACTTCGTCGAGCACCTCATGTTCGGTAAAAAAATACATTTTTGAACTTATTTTATCGCTTTCGACATTTTGTGCAAAAGATTCATGAATAGACCAAAGTTTTAAAAAATATCTGTTTTTGGCGAAACCTGAAGAGAGGACCAAGACGCATAGTGTGTCAAAAAGCTAAACCTGTAGTAAATCAGACTAAAGTTAGAAAATTTCAACAGATTATAAAAATATAATAATAAACATATTTGTGGCTTTAGTGTTTCCATCTCAAGAACATGTTTTAGGTATAAAAAAAGAGCATGGATTCTGGGAAATTGGCCATACATAGAAAAAGAATGATTCCCTTTCTACTGTTATCACTCATGCTGCCAAAAAAATCTGTATACACTTTATAGAAAGTAAATGATAAGCATTGTGAGTTGACGAAAACTAAAAGCAAAACTTAATCTTTTTTTCAGAACGTACTCAGTTCCGATCTGAACATTGCTTCACACGAAGTTGCTGTAAGTGACCCGACCATTGCATCGTAGTCCTGGACTGCCGACGAAATGCGTTCGGACGCACAGGCACAGTTTTATGTATAATTCTAATGAAACGACTAAAACGTCATATTAATTATTATTTTATAATTCCATTCTCATGCTCTTTCAAACATTATTTCAAATGAATAACTGAAAACAAAAGTCAGTGGCACTGTTTAGGACATTTGGCTTGGCTTTATTTATTTATTTATTTATTTATTTATTTATT